TCTTTTTTTTTAGTATTAAGGTGACCTCATTGGTCGAATTTTTTATTAGAAATTGTTGTTTTTTTGTTACATTATATTAATATAGTATTATATAATATAAACATTATATTAATATTATTTAGTATACTGTATAATATTAAAGATTAAGATATTGTATACAGTAACATATGAGGGTGAGTTAATAGAAATCAAGCAAATTTTTTATAATAAAAATTTTTTATAACTTACAGCAAGAATAAATTAACAAAAACATAACAAAATTTAATAAAATTTTTTTTAAATAATTTTATAAACTTGTAGAATTAGTTTAAAAAAAATTTATTAAATTTGATCAAGTTTTTGTTAAGTTATTCTTGTTTAGAGTTTTAAAAAAACTTATTAAAAAATATTTGCTTGATTTCTATTGACTCAACCCCATATACTTTAATACAGTATTGTAAAGCTTATTAATTTAAATGGCATGTTTTTAGGCTTAGTGGCATGCCAATGACCCTCATGCGATAAACACTATTCAAACATAATAAGATAATAATTTGATATATAATATAATACAATAATCTGCTAAATTGAATAGAAATAATGCTAATAATGATATTAATAAAATAATTATAATAAAAATTTTTGCATAACCTCATCCCATAATGATTCGATCCTCATAAACACATCTACAAAATTCTTCAATCAATTGCATAATTTTAATCCACTAGATAGCGAAAATAAATATTGACCTTTAATTTGATTGGATTATTTAAATAACAAATATTAGCATCATTCAACAAATTCATTCGTATGTCTTTAATAATCAGTGATTACCGTCTAAACAGCAATTCAAAATACGAAAATCCAGAAAACATGTATATCGATAAAAATTGCTTATATGGGGCCTTTGCCTTGAAAATGACCTTACGGTATCATGTACCGTAAGGTCATTTTCAAGGCAAAGACCCCATATGTTAATTTTTTATTTAGTGCATCTCACAATCCACTCAGATTTATGGATTTGCGTACTTTTCATATAACCAACCATTTGTTCACTCCGTTCCTTATATAATTATACGAAATTCCAAATTTTAAAAATAGAAACGATACATATCGATACGTATCATACGCAGGAGAAACCGGTATTAGTATAACAGATAAATAGTTTTTATATTTAAATCGAGGAAATTTAGCATATCGATATTATCATAATATATATTATAGAATTATGTTTCTTAGTGCAATTGCATTTAAACTTATACGTAGAAATCCCAAGATGAGATCATGATGATAAATTGTCAAATAAAATTCGAATTTGATATATCACTTATACTCTTAGTTACACTCCGTTCCTGGTATTAACTGATAATCAATCCATCCAAACCGATTTAAATTCGATTTTTAAGAGTTTTATCAATATTTGAACCTGGATATACTTGTTAATAAAAAGTCTTAACATTTTTTGAATAATTTAAAGTTTTAATATTACATTATTAAAATGCACGCATTTATTTAATGTATTCGGTATTTTTTTTTTAGTTTTACACGATTTACCGAAATGGGATATATATTTGGGTTTTGGTCATGAACCCAAATTAAGTAGAAATGCCGATTCTCAAACCCAAACTAAGTGATAATGCCATAATTTAAAAAAAAGGTTTGGGTCGCAGCCCTAGGTACATTGTTCCATATTGTTGAGGTCCAGAATAACCGGGATAAAATGCGTTGTTCATCGAAGGACCGGCAGCACCATAGCCCATCCCATAGGGGGGGACATTCATCGGCATAGGTGTAGCCGGAGTCATTGTAGGTGGTAATCCCATGATCATTGGTTGAGTCGCAGCAGAAATTGGATGCGATGGTGTTGTATGGATTGATCCATTAGCTATCACATTCTGCTGTTCATTATGATACATAGGCGTAGTAGCACCAGGAGGACGAACAGCATTTGTAGATCCGTAAAATGGGTTACGAGAACTTTCATTCTGTAGATATGCATGACTTTTGTTTAATGGAAGCATTCCTTTGAATGCTGCTTCACGTATTGGTAACTGTGACATAGCTTTTTCTATGCCTTCGTGAGTTACCAATGCAGATGGTGGAACTTCAGATATAATTTCAGCAAGTCGATTCTGTAACTTTAAACCTTGTAATAAAATAAAAAAAAGCTTATCGATTAAGGCATACAATAAGATAGGTACAATTAAACTTTCTTACCTAAATTTCTTTCTTTTTCTGACATATTGTGTGGATTTTTTATAAATCTATCTGTTTGTAATTTTTGTAACTCTAAAAAAAGTTCAACATTTTCATCTAGTTTTAAATCAAACTGATACGAATCATCATTTTCAATTAGTTTATACAACATATCTACATCAATGTCCTCAAAATAATTCCCGTTTGTATGATTTGTTGAAATTTCATTTGAATTCTTTAATGATTTTGATGAAGAACATTGAATCTGTTCAGTGCAATGATCGTTTTCAGCAGAGCAAACGTCCTTGGTCAAATTTGGTGTATTTTGTGATATCAGTTCATTTGAACCTTTTTTAGACAATGATTCATCCTTATTTCCTGTGCTTATTTTATCTTCCATGTTTGTAGAATGACTAACTTTGGTTTCATTCATAAATGTACATGCTGTTACAGTATCTTCATAAGACATTAAGGCATCACGCGAATCATATATCGGAGCGAAAGAACCATAAGGTTTGTACGTGTGAAATTTGACTAGAGCAAAAAAAAAAAAAAATAAAATAAAATAAATAAATAAAAGATTAATAGAAAAAATTTGTTATCCAATAAATGCCTAATTATTTAGGTACTACCTCCAGGAATACCGACTTCCTTTGACCGTATATTTTCTTGCTTTTTAGTCGTATTTGGAAGGATCGACCCTAGAGTTGGAATATCGCGTTCATCCATTGAATGTGATGGAACGATTGTTATCTCTTTAATGTCACCGCCTAGTGAAAGATAAATCAGCAAAAGTTATATATCAATGGCATAATTGTACAAAAATAAAATTTGCCTACAAGCCGTATGTACCTATTTTGAATTTTTGGTTATCTAATGGAAGCTGCTTTAACGCACTACTTGAAAATAAATGCCCATTCGTCGTTGATTGAACAAGAGCTTTTTTTTGAGGCTTTTTTATAAAAGGATTAACTTTTAAAAGAAAAAAAAAATTTAGATTATGTAAATTAAATAATTTATTTACAACTTTATTTCAATGATTATATACTTGCATTCATTTTTACTTATTGAAAGAGTTTCACGGTTTGTATTTGCTATGTCTGTATTTTGTTTAATATTTTGTATTTCTTTAGTAGCTTGTTCTATTAAGCGTAAACCTAATCGAATGAATTCTTTTCCGGAGTTGTATTTTTTCTGGTCGACAGACATAGAGTTGCTACAAGCACGAATAAAATCAAGCTTAAGAGTGTAAAGAAAACTTATTAATAACATATTGATAAATTATTAATTACATGATAATAAGAGAAATAAAAGAACATTCACTTGAAACTCTTTCAGAGTATTATATTCATTTTTATCGATTTTAGCGCGAATCGTTGTTGAATTTAAAAGCTGCGCTTTCCCTTGACATTTTGAATCTCGTAAAATCTGGTGTGTATCACGACTAGAATTAAAAAAGCGTAAGATGAAAATCAGAATTCAGATATAAATGAATTGATCATTTTCTAACCTCTTATTTTTTTTATTTTTTAATAATATATATTTTTTTTCAAACCACCATCTCGGACAATAGATCAGAAATCAACTTCAAGAAGCTTGGGTTGTATACTCCATGAAGTACTTAAGTTACAGACTGGTAAGGGAGATGGCAGTTGCCCACCATGACAATTTTTACGAGATTGTCAACAATCTCCTTCACCTCATAAAAAGTAGACTATTCCTATAAAATGAAATAAAATAAACTTTACTCACGTCTCGAGTAAATCCATTATTTTAATCAACAAGGTTCGAAAATTCTGATCAGTACCATCTTCTATTACTTTTCCGTCATCGGGCTTCGAAATTTCATCGTTAGAAGTGCGTCGTTGCTTCTTCACCATTTCACCTAGTTTGTTGTCAAACGTAGTCGATGTTTAAGAGTAACACAATAAATGGAATTCAAAGAGTATGCAGGTTTATGAAAAATTTAAGTGGTATTGAATAGATCTAAATACTAAATAAGATCGTAATCGACAAAGGTAACTCTAGAACACGGTTTTAGAAGTTCGTTTTCTAATTTAACCTTGTCATGAAAAGATGGAAGATCGGAATAAATCGGTAAACCTTATAATAACCCAAACGTGTCTGTGCTACAAACATGCATACACAGATTTATAAATTCTTTTTTTAATTGGCTATTATGTTTCTCGAATGATTTTCATAATAATGATAACAATTAACGTTAACTAATACAGTAATAACAGTAATATATCGATTTAGCTAAATTATAGAAATTTGAGACTAATGCAACTATAGTTAGTATTGTAAATTAGGTCTGCACAACATATTTTGGTATTCTCCACAATATTTACAGGTTGGAAAAAAAAAATCTAGTGATAATAAGTTAATAATCCTGGCAGATCAAATTTTATCGACTATGCTAAGAATTATCGGCTTAGCCGGCTTAGTTACTATTCATTGAAAACTACAACGAATCATTTAATTGAATTGCGAATATAAAAAAAAAAAAATTAGAAAAATTTTTTTATTATGGAATCGTCGATTTATCGATATACAGTAATTGTAATAACCATGAAGTATTGCGAAATAAGAGTTGTTTTGTAATTTGCAAGATTTCATAAATGCTTTTTTTTGATACAATATATCATCATTTAATAATCGCTTAACTCAAAACTCTTTTTATTTAGCAAATGTAGAAATTTATAATAATTTTCTCACACTAATTCGATTCATTGACGGATTAATTTTAACATGAATAGAATTAAGAATATGAAGAATTCATAATCTAGTATATTTTCATTATACAGTATCTAAAGCATGAATGCAGTTTGGCATTTAGATTTAGTTCGGCATTCAAACATTGAACATAAATTAGGATCTCAGTTTAAAACGTAATGGTGACTTAATAAAAAAAACTAATCGAGTTATGAGTGATAGCTACCTTCTTGATAAAAACCAAATTCAGGTAAAGATGGTGTCAGAAATAAAAATCTAGTCGAATTATATCCTATTTTGAAATGGCTATCCGAATTAAATTCGAATCACTAAATTCGGTAAAATAATCAAAATCACGATTTACAAGATATAGATCGCTGTTATCAAATTATGGTAAAACCAGACTACGTATATTCCGTATTATAAAATCAGGACATCAAAAATTTCTTATTTCAACATGTCAAATAACATTGACTATAATGTTGATGGGAAATTGTGAAAATGTTATTCTATTGATGCAAATATAATCACATTGTGATATATTTAACACAAATTTAGCGAATTATGACACGTTTTTAATGTCGAAGATATACTTTGCTTTTTAATTTTAATACTATAAAGTTTACTGTGAAAATTTTAAGCAAATGCTAAATTCTAATATTAATTAAATATGCTCAAATAAAATTTTTCATCGCAAGTATATAAAGTTTTCAGTTTGTATTTTTGATAGTTTGTCTTTCAAAAACTATAAACAGTATTAACCCATGACGTTTCTAGTTTATATTTTTATCAAGTTTTATCATGAGTATAGTAAAGTCGACATCACTAGTACATACATACGGTACAGTACGTCTACAAGATATCTGATATGCAAGATATTGATATGTAGTTACTACTA